CCAGGGCAACACTATGTACTGTAGCCAACCATGAGAGCAAATTCTCCATGTTTGTTTCATTGTTAGGGTTTTCCAATTTCACATCATTACTTCCTTGTCTCACACAGGGTTCAGCTGGATCATCCAAAGGCTTGCTGAGATTGTGCACCAATATGTAGAGAGCTCGCTGTGATAAGAAGATAGGATGGCTAGCATAGTACAAGTGCTGCCCTGCAAAGTCCCACACGTCCATTGTAACATAGGGTTCTTCTGTCAATAAAGCACTTTTGAAAGGTTTCCCCTGAGCATACTCCAACCACTGATAAACATGCTCCTCAGTATCAGGCGGTTGAGAAACATCAATCATCACATCAGGCTCAGCTTGCATGTTTTCAACTTTACATTCAGTAGAATGTTCATTGCCACTGTTTTGCAGAATGTCCGTGAAACCTTCATCTTCCTCAACCTGAATGGAGAATTAAATGAAACATTATGCTCACATAAGTGTACATAATTATGTATTCAAAGCTTGACATTATGAACAGGCTGCTAAATGGTAAAACATTATGATGAGCTCAGTCTAGAATAATTTTAAGGGCGTTAGTTTCTAAAAAAACTGTTGTGCTGCTTTAGTGAAGGGGGTATCACAAGATAACTTGGTTTACCAACTGAGTTGAACATGTAAATTGGTTACTGTAAAGAGTTCTGAAGCTGACATCTCAAGTGTAAGAGCCCTTAGACAGCAAGAAACTCACCGTATTTACCCGCATATAGGCCGCACTTTTTTGACAAAAAACCACCTTGAAAGTTTGCAGTGCGGCCTATACGCGGGTACAAGAGTTCAGAGAGAAACTTAATAGCATAGATTAAGACATAGAAGAACAAATCCTCCTACCATGGAGCTAGTCAACTCTAACAAGGAAATGTTTGTTGAGACTGCAGAAGTTACATAACATAACATAGCATACATTCACTGAAGCTCCTCCATTGAGATTTTATAGCCAAAATATAACAATAAATTATAAAAAAATTATATCATCAGATAATAAAAAATAATTACAACTAAAAATTTATTTATAATTGGAGAAAAAAAAAAAGATGCCCCTCGTTTTTATCATGGTAAAAGTTTTGCACGTATGCCTTCATTCCAGATGTTTAAATTAAAATTACTTGCAGTTCATTTTCACCTGATGTGTAAATAAAATTCTAGACTCATCTAAGCACTTGTGAAAACATCCAAAGAAACAGACTCTTTCAGGCACATGCTGGATGTAAGAAATTTAAAATTTTTCATAAAGAAAAGAATTTTGAAAAACAGCAAGTACTGTTGTAATCCTATTCATTCTCTTTAAAACAAATTTTCTCATGAGGCTAATTTGACTGCTTTCCTCCGTTCTACTCTATTCTTCCTCCCTTACTCTTCTGGCCTTCCCTAGAACAAAAAGAGTTAACATATAGACATACCGGTAATTATAAAATTCTCCCAATTAACTTAACTTAACTTAACTCTCAAACCTGCTTTGACTTGAAAACATCCTCAACCTCATCTTCTAATTCCAGTTCTCCTTCTTCAGTTGTCTCTTCCTTTAAAAATTGAGAAATATCTGCTCCACACATTCTGCCAACCACAATCTTTGCTAAATCTTTTGAACATTCCAATAGTCCTGGTTTACTCTCCCTGGTCAACTGCCAGTTCTTGACAGCTTGGTCAACATCAATTTCACATTTCGAAGGATCCACTTCAATCCCCTTAGTACTCTGTTGTTTAGGATCAAATGGAAGGCCTAAAAGACTCTTCTTCAAACTGGTTTTACCAGTGCGATCCTGACCAACCAGTATAATACGCCCACGGTAAACTTGTACATATCCATCTTTTAAAGCCGCTTCATAAGCCAACTGTGCTCTTTGTCTATCCACATGGTCTAATTAAAAAACTGAGTCATCATAATTGAGCCAAAGGAAAAAGGCTAATCAGAGGAAGTTGTAATTATTATTGTAATAATAACTCTAAAGGAAAAGCAACTTCTGTTTTCATAAGTTTCAAACACAATTTGAAACAGGCCTGATAAGTCAATTTAATTATAATTTATGTCCTTCATGCATTAAGTGAGAAACTATGCTAGTATATGCAAGTAAAAATCATTGCATCGGTGAGTTTGATAAACACATACACAATAATGACTATTAATTAAAACTGACTCAATGAAATGAAACACCAAGAGTTTGACTAAAATGTGAGTGATCAAACTAAACAAAGGCAATAACTGATATCAAATCTGCCAAATAGTAAGGAGGCAATAACAAATGAACTGTTTGGAAAACAGAAAAAAAAAAATCACATATTCTTAAAAGGTAACAACTGATAGATTCATAAATATTACAAGGCCAGTATAAATTATGGTATAAAAATTATCACAATTACTCTAGACTAATTTATATGACAGAATAACTCTTGCATTAGAATCACATCCTTCCATGAAGTCTTTTTATTAAGCTTATAATGTTGTTAAATGTTTAATTAATTCCAATCAAATAAAAAGCAAAATTACAACTAAAATTATTCCTAAATGAGACATCACTTGCAATAAACTTTACCTTTTTTAATTCAAATCAAATATCAAATATAACAGAAAATTACAAAAAATTCCTAACTGAGAAATGACTTGCAGTAAACTTAATCCTTCGTTGAATTCCAGTCAAATTAGAGAGCAAAAATTGTAACAATTCCTAACTGTAAATTGTTTTGTAATAAACTTAATACTTCTTCGATTCCCTATAAAATTATATTACACTGTAGCTGAACTTAAATTTCAATGTCAGCCAAATTGTTAAAATAAAGCTTTTCAAAATATAACTAAACCTTCCAATTGATATAAATGTCCTGTATTTGTCAAGTGATGCCAACTTTGTTCAATCATACAGTATAACTGTGACAGTATTTACTTCATATTCTTCTCAAGCTTTATTATGAAACTATTGTCAGCTGCCTGTAATTATCAGTAACAAGCAGCATAACCACTTGCAAGTCAACCATTAGAACCAATTTAGTAAATGCACATGTTACAACATTAATGTGAAGAGGAATTTCCTTTACTCACCTGGGACATCTGAATATACTCTGAGGGCGTTTTCCGGACTTTCTGTGTCTTCTTGAGGTATTAAGAGCGACTTTTTTTCAAGACCGCGTAAGAGGCGACACATCGACCGAAAAATGACTATCCTCATATTTCAGTCAGAGACACCTTATGGTGAACATAGCAACGTGGTATCGTTTCTTTTTCCAGACATGCCTCTTCCGAAAAAAATTCACGAAAACTAAAATGAGCGTCGGTAGCCGTTAAATGGCGGATATCAGTACCCCGAGTAGAGACAAATTAACTTACTCATGAAAAGCGCAAAAGAAAGCAGGCATATTAATTTTATAGATTTGTATACGAAGGATCGAGGTATGGTTTATGTAAAAGGGACCATTTCATTTAATTTGGAGCCCATGGGTCGCTTTTGCAAATCATCAAATTTTCAAAATCCAAATATCGCATTTCATAGCAAATTTCCAATTATCATTCTCCCCATGCGGTATAACTCAGAATCGGTTCAGGTTAAGCTCATGATAAGTGAAAATAGTGTTGTTTTCGAGGATATAAAAGTTAGTTTGGGGCTTTTCATTTCCGCACGGAAAAGCCAGGCTGAACTTTGTAAAAATCGCAACATCGGCATTTACGTTACGACATGATCTAATTAGGCACCCTGTGGTTAACTCCGGAATTCCAAGCACATTTTAGCAGTTAACACCGTGTTCGATCTGGAAATCAATACAATAAGCTAGCCTTGCATAGTTAGCGACGACTGACTGGTTTTTAGCCCTGCTTTCGTTTCAAATTCTCATCTATTTCCCATGGCAAAAACTGTTTACAATATCACATTCCGTAAGCTAGCAGAGGGCGTCTATTTTTGTTAGCATATTCGTACACATTTAGGTTTTAACTGAGAGTTCTAGGGTATGATTGAGTTTCATTGTGGAACGGAAAGAGGACAAGTCAATCATTTATACCGGTAGGTCAAATGTTCCTAGCCGAAGACGTTGAAGACGGGAAACAATCTGACGCTAGTGTAGATGAAACACTCTCAAGCGTTTGTCATGGTTAAGCTCAAAAAAA